TCATCATCGTCATCATCGTCATGAGAGTATTTTTCTAATTATCTAGAGTCAGCTACACGAATTTTGGCCCGTCACACTGCATATAGAATATTTTTTAAACAATTCAAATGAACAAAATAGATTATTTTTTAAATTTTACGTTAAGTTTCATTTTTTTTCAAATTCATGATCACAATAACCTAGATCATAAACCTATGAAATTTTTAGATCCAGGGTCCAATAGAATTTGCAAGGTGGATGCACCAAATTTGGCATTTATGAGATTACACCAAAACCGGACCATTGACCAAAAGAAAATAATTTGGTCCCTTTTTTTTTTCTCTTTTGAGTGTTAGGAAAATGATACGGTACTTCCCCAACCAATTTTAAGTTGGAAAATTGTTTAGGGCTGGACCGCATTTCTACAATATGCGGTCTCAAGGTATAAAGCATTCATTTTAAAGATTGATGTAAATAGGTAGTCTATCTAAAAACAATTGAAATTAACGGTCCAAATGTTTTCTTCTTAAAATCATTATTTTTATTTCTTGAAATTTATTTATTTTTTTATATTCATGATCTCCAGTTAGAGATTACATGTCCTTATGAATTGGCTCCCAAAATCCTCTCAAAATTAGATTTTTAAGAGTCGACTCGTTTCTACATGGATTCATAGATATTGTCCTTTAGAGTTCTTCGGCGAATTAATTTAAAGGTAGAGTGCGTAGACCATGCTCCCACTGGAGCATACTGTTCTCCCTTAGATGGAAAGTAAACTTGAAAAGAGTTTTTTATCCAAATTTTTTAGAAACACTTAAAAATCACTACATGATTATATTCAAATAATTTTTTTTTAATTTTGAGTCTTATGAAATTTATGTCTTAGATGATTGCTATTCAATTTTGTAGGCTATTATTATTATTATTATTATTATCATTATTATTATTATTATTATTATTATTATTATTATTATTATTATTATTGTTTTAATTGAGAAAATATGGGTCAAAGATGATACATTCCCAAGTTTTTGTTCATGGGAATAAATAAACAGGGTAGGCTCCCTCGCGAGCATAAAATCTATTGGGCAAAGGAATTTATAAAGGTCGGGATCTGGCGCCTTTGAGTTGCATGATGGAGCCGTTCCGTAGAAATGGACGGCTCAATCTCTTCCACCGTGTCAATGAGAGTACAAGGCTACTGTTGCACTATAACAAGTTTCTCTTTGTTTAACCTCAAAATCCTACTTTTTGTTTATGTCCAACAATGTTTTAAAACCAGACAGATTATCAATTTGGATGAGAATTTGTCGGGACTAAACTGGTCTTGAGATGGTATGGGTCTCAGCTTGGTTCCACCCTAAAATTCCCGTTTATAATTGATCTTTTTTTTTTTTAAGCTTTTCTAAAGGAAAGGTTTCTATACTTCTCCTAAAACATAGAAGATCTATGCTTCCCCTACCATCCAGCCGTCCAATTTTGATCAAGTAAGCCAATCACCATTTGATCTTAGATCCGACGTCTCAAAGTATTTTATTTTTAATTATTTTTTATACAAATTATATGCATGTAAAATTTTGTATGTGCTATCTTCTCATTAGGGCGCACCTATAAAAAATATTAAAAATATCTTTTGATAAAATATAATAACCAAAATATCTCTTAAACTTTCAGGGGTATTTTGGTCAACTTATTTTATTAAAAATATTTTTTACAAGTGCGTGTTTAATAGAGGATTGGACGCTCTAAATATGGTGTGAAAATAATTTATATAAAAAATGTTAAAAATAAAACAGTGTAAAGATGTGACATTCTAATTGGGACAATCTTAGCCCTCCATTCAAAATTGACGGTTGGATGAAGGGAAGTATATAAGTTTTATGTTTTAGGGAAAGCATAGAAAGCTTGTCCATGTTTTGTTATATACCATTAAATTCTCATCCTATAAACCCTTATTTTTTTATTTTTTTGGATCATCGATTCAAAGTGATCCAGATGTGATCCGAATAGTCGATCCAACAATCTGACATTGAATTGTAGGTGAATGATCCATCCCACCAATCTGAGTTTTATAAGACTAATCTCCAAGGTCAACATTAGAAAATAAAAATTTATTTGGAGCTTAAAAGAAAGCTCCAAAGTAATTGCCCTTGAGAGGAGTGATTTCATGCAATTGTCTTATACTAATATAATGAAATACACCTTAAAAATTCATGTTAGAAACGCTCCAATTTTTTAATATTTACTCAATTCATTATGATGAATTATGAAATGTACACAATACGACTATTTAATTTTTGCATAAAGAAGTCGCAATCCTTTCTAGCTGTTAGATATGAAATCAAACGGTTAAGGTTGTGCCACTGACAAGGCTCAAAGTTCAAACATAAATTTTCAAATTTTGTTACGTACTTTAAAGTTATCCAGTTTGACATTTGATGGACATAATTAGTTGTGACTTCCTTATTCCAAAGATAAATAGTATTATAATATATAATCCCTAATCTAAGACGCAAACAAAATTGAAAACACACAATATAAAAACTATGTTTTGTAACTCAATGAACATAGTTCGTTTGTTTAATGACATTATTAGATCAGAGCCTTAAAGGGATTCTTTTGTTATCACTTTTGTAAATGGTTTTATAGGCATTAGATGAAGAATTATAAACAAAAACAAAAACAAAAAAGAAAAATGATTTTGAGTTCTTAAAGACCTAAATCTCAATGTCTATCAAATGGACGATCTGGATTCATTGTTGAAGAGTGCGTCATTTTGACCTTTTCTAAAGTGAAAACTTATTTATTTTTTTCTTTTTGGCATTAATTGTAGGAGTAAAGAGAGTGAACGCAAAATTTGATATCATAAAAATAGTTTTTTTAAATATTAATCATCCATACCAAAGATGTCAATGGTGGCTCCCTTCAAAAAAGAAAAAGTAAAACCAATAGTCTAAATATTTCCTTCAAAAATTACTATTTTTAATTTTTTAAATTTATTTATTTTTAAGATATCAATGATCTCCATATTTGATATTATATATTCCTTAAAAAGTAGGGCCACGTCCTTTTGAAAAATGGATCATTAAGTGTGGCGCATTTCAACATATGAGCCGGGGACTCATAGAAGCCATGTCCATATATATAATACTAAAGAAAATTTATATAAGGCCTTGGGATAAAAATAAGCCAAAATATTTTGTGCTCCTATGAAATTATACTATCTATTTACTCCCTTAGGTAAATGCAATTTTGACCATTTCCTTAGTACTCCAAAATTTGGGGATGTAACCTCTTTATTTGCTCACTAACATCAAATGAAAAGGTTTTCTTCAATTGCATTTTATGTATTGAAAAAAGTGATGTCTCAAGATTGAACAAGAGACCATACAATTTTTGGAGCGTAAGGAGGGTTGAAGAAATGAAAATCCAATTTTTTTTAAAACAATTATTTATTCTTAGTTAGAACTCAAAATTTCCTATTATACTCCCCCCCTCCCGGAGCACAATATACTTCTATTCCCTCCATCAGATGACCTACTTGAGAGGATTTTTTCAATTTTAAGCTTTGGGAACCACCTAAGAATCACCCTCTAAAAATTGGATGGTTTTTATTCAATCTTAAGACATTTTTTTATGTGCTTAGAGGTGCAACTAGGAAATCATTTTTTATTGAGGTTAATCTATGCGTTAACGAGGTTATAACTCCAAAATATGGGGTCCTATCATTAATTCTAGATGGGATCAAAGTCAGAAAGCACGACCTGGGAATGGAACCGGGTAACTCAAAACCTATTCGGGTAACCGGCTCGAGTGGGGCTGGGACCAGCTAGGCAAAAAAGTCTTAAAAGAAAAAAAATCCACAAAAATATGTTTATAATTAAAGAAATTTTTTTTTTTTAAAAAAAACACCTTTAAATGAAGTTAAAAAAAGTAGTAAAAAAAACAGAAAAAGAAAATCAATTTGTGACCAGGAGTACTTCAGAAATAAATCTAAAAAAGATAGAAAAGTGTCAAAATAAGTATTTATGGCCAAAATATTTTTTATTATTTGTCAAAATGATACAAAACATATAAAACACATTACAAATTTATTTATTTTTTAGATTTGTAATACTTATGTGAATTTTTTTATGGGAACTTGACCACCAAAACTGAGCTTAACTGAGCCCCCCTAAGGGTCGGTTCATGGTAGCCTGGACAAGTCTAGTTGGACCCAAGTAGTTTGCCTAATACTTGCATGAGGGAGTAAATGGACAATGTACTCTCCAGAGAGTATAAAATCTTTTGGCTTGTATAAATGCTTAATAAATAAGCTAAAAGATTTCTTACTCTAGTGGATCTCAGTGGAGTGTAATATCAATTGTTTCCCTTGGGCAAAACTTACTTTAGGGATGTATTTTTTATCTCAAAATTTGGGATGTGATACTGGAATCGGGTAGTTGACCTCAAAGAAAAAAAGAAAAAAAAAAGACATTGGACTCTCACTTTTTATCTACCTAAAAGAAATATTATCCCTACGGAAGCCGTCCAATTTTTAGAGGGGGAATGATTTAGACGTTATAAACTCAAAATCTGAAATTTTTTTTTTTTTTTAAATTAATCTTCCAGTTATAATTAAATAAATACAAAATTTCAAAAAAAGAAAAAGACAATCCACGGAGTTACTGGTTTGCCCGAAGGCGTATATGTATAGTATGCTCCCGATGGAGCATATCAATTTGCGCTCAATAAATAAACGAAAGTTATGAAACCACCATCACGCATTTGCTCCGCATAGAAGCGCTGTGAAGGGTAAAAACGTAAAGGTCGAGGGGTAATTTCGTCATTAAAGTTGGTATCTCGGGGAGGGACCATGTCGGCGTTGTGGTAAGGATGATCCTGGTCAAACGGTCAAACGCTCGACTCCCAACCAAAAATCCACGTCATCAGATATTAATGGTCAACGCTTTGACCGGAATTGGGACAAAATGTTTCTTCTCTCTCTTCACATTCATACACTCTTTCTCTCTCATCAAAACATTCCAATTCAAGGCCCTGCTCTCTCCCTCTCTCCTTCTCTCCCTCTCAAAAGATTCCTCCCTTTCCATTCCTCCTGGAAACAAAACCATTTATTGGTTCAGTAACCAGTCAGCAACTGTACCCAAGAACCTGCCTTCTTTCTCTCTCTCTCATTGCTGCAAACAGGAAGCTACTGGAACCTGCACTCTCTCTCTAGATTCCAAACAAGCAAATTCTCTCTCTACCTCTCTCTCTCTCTCATGGCTGACCAGGAGGAGCCAAACCCCAGCAGGGAGCCAAACCTCCATGACATCAAAGTCGAACGGCGACCACCCGATTCGCGCTTATCCGAATTGGGTGTCCGGTCATGGCCGAAGTCTGTTTCCTCTCTTCTCTTCATAGATTGCACACTCTCTCTCTAGAATTTGGTTTCCTTTATTTTGTGGTTGTTGTGATTTTGATTTGGGTTTTGATGGGCAGGTGGGGGTGTTCCCCGGGTAAGTTTCCTCTAAAGTTTGAAGCACAACAGACGTGTTATTTGCTGAAGGGGAAGGTGAGGGCTTATGCAAAAGGTGTTTCATCATCAGATGAGTACGTCGAGTTTGGAGCAGGTGATTTGGTAGTCATCCCCAAAGGTCTCAGTTGCACTTGGGACGTCTCTTCCCCTGTAGACAAGCACTACAAATTCGACTGAAAATAAATACATCATTCTCTCTCTTTCTCTCTAAATCTGAAATTTCATTGTCCTCTATTTCTCTCTCTAAAAGTTGGGTCATCCCCTTGTCCTCTCTCTCTACTTCTTTCTTTCTTTCTCTCTCTTGATTCTTCAAATGTTTGTCCTCTATTTCTCTCTCTAAAGTTGGGGTGATCCCCTTGTCCTCTCTCTCTCTACTTCTTTCTTTCTTTCTCTCTCTTGATTCTTCAAATGTTTGTCCTCTCTCTCTAGCTTTCTCTCTCTACTTCTTTCTTTCTTGCTCTCTCTTGATTCTTTACATGTGTTCTCTCTCTACTTCTTTCTTTCTTTCTCTCTCTTGATTCTTTACATGTGTGGAGTTTTGTATTGCGGTGAAGGGAAATGGACACCGACCAACATCCAGCACAACTCCCAAACCCTAGCGGTCAATGGGCATCCCGTTCAGAGTAATCTTTATTTATGTCGTTTGAATATGCTTTTATGCTCCTTTGACCCACCCCTCAAAACCTTTTTCTTCACAATAAAAATGCAGGGCGGCCGTATTTCGAGGAGGGTTTCACATTTTTAAGCCTTTAAGAATGAGAAGTTCGTTTTTTTCTTTGAATGATCCTACGTTCTCTCTCTAGATGATCTACCTTTGGAGGTTGACACTTCTTTTTACTCTCTTTCTCTCTCCTCCTTCCAATTTTAGAGTTTGGCTGTGTTCTTGTCTCTCTCTGCGATTCCATTTCAAAGTTCCAATAAATTCGATTCCTTTTCTTATGTGATGATGAGACATTGTGGTTGGGGTTTGCTGTCTGTAAAATGCATATAGCGTGGATAGAGAAAGAAGCAAAGTACAAATCAGAAGAAGTGCGAAAAGTAGGGTTGAAGAAAAGGTTAGGAGGGTGTGTCCTTGTGGATCGTGCTCAAGCCACTGCCATTTTTGTCTTTTAATTCCTAAATTTCTTTTCCTTAATGTCAGATTGATGGGCTTGTACATGTGGTTTTGTATGTCCATGTGTTTGGTGAATGATAGAGGGTGTGTTGTTGAAGAAGTGCTGCATGTGTTTATGTTTGTAAAAAGTTAATGAACTTTAGGTTCACTTACCTGGTGAAATACAAATGCTATTGTCAAAGAGATATATGCCAATGATAGTTGCTCCATCCCCATTTTATTTATGGGTGCAGTTCGCATATGAATGCATCCCTAGCTGTAGAGGTAAGGTGTACTTTCAAATTTTATCATGGTATATAATTTTGATGTAAAATGTTCTTAGGATTATCTCAAAATCTATTTTTATATTTAATTATAAAATTTTAAATTTCAAAACTGGTTAAAATCAAGTAGATCTATAAACATATGAAAATCTTGAAAATGGATGGTGTTGTAAAATGCACTTTTTCTGATACTTGAAATCTTTTTACTTTTCATAGTCATACATTTCGATGTCGAGATGATCAATCAAATGGTTTTTCAACATTAAAACTACCTTTTCCAATAGATTTTTTAGGGGCATCCGCAATTCTACATTATAAGGTAGCATCCTTTTATAAACTTTTTCCTTTATTTATTGAGATTTTATACAATACAATGAGACCATTTACCTTTCATACAAGAGGTCACAATTAATTACAACCATCACTTACAACGGTCACTAAGTTCGTTTTTTTTTTTTGAAGTTTGAGCTTGACCAATTGTATAAATGCAGTCATCTAATTTCACATCCAATGGTCAAAATTAATTGTGACCAACTTATACCAAAGATAAATGGTCTCATTATATATTTTTTCTTATTCCAATGTCCATATGGTAGTGAGACAATGCCCATCCTAAAACGATTCATTGTGACTATGATAGTCAGAACACCCTAGTAATTGTGAGTCAATGGCTAGCTAAATCTGGACTCAGTATTCGCGATTTGGGTGGTTGGTCTCGGGGATCTTGAAAAAGGAATTGAAAAAATTATAATCTAATTTTTTATATCATTCTATGATTAGAAAGTGTTTTGGACATGAATACTTATTTTTACATTTTTCCCTTTTTTTTTAGATTATTTCTAAAATACCTACCCGTAACAAATTGATTTTTTCAAGGGTGCAATTTTTATAGAGCCGAGGCTCTAAACAATCAAAGTAAAGCCCATCTTCAAATAGTATCGAGAAATGTGGTTTCAATACTGGAAATCATTTTGATAGCCGTAAAATATATTTTGATATTTAATTGTAAAATTTAAAGCTTTAAAAATAGTGTAGATCGAGCACATCTATGAAAACTTGAAAATCTTGAAAATTGATTGTCCAAAAATGCGTTACAAGATGCAGTATTTCCAATACTTGAAATTCTTTTTTTTTTCATATCTATGCATCTTGATGATCAATTTAATGATATTTAGACATCAAAACAACCTTTTCTAGTAAAATTTTTGAGGTGGGCTCTAATTTGATTGTTTAGAGCCTCGACTCTATATAAACTTTTCTCTTTCTTCAATATCCAATATTTTCGCTATTTTTTTAACCTCATTTACATGTTTTTTATTTAATTTTATTTTAAACATATTTTTCCTATTTTTGGGGTTTCTTTGTATTGTTTTTTAAACACTTTTTGACTTAGCAGGGTTCAGCCCGACTTGGGCCTAGTAATTCGGACTCAGGACGAGTTACTCCGCTCAGTCATGGTGGAGTCCCATCCCGGAATCATTCATTTATTCACATGTCATTCCTCTTTGCGAAATCTATTGAGTCACTGGTCATTCCTCTTTGCTAAATCCATTGAGGTTGTTCACACCACAATCACCACCTCAAGAAAGGTCCTTTCCAAGATGAAGGTTGTCCTGAATAAAAGAAGGATATAGTTTTAATGATATTATGGGTTACTTGGGGATGAAACTAGGAGTTCAATAAAGCTCATAAGGCATTTATGTAAGTGAACTTTATGTCTTAGTTGGAGAAAAAAAGTGCCATTTGATGAAGGGAAGCTGGATAGAGAAAATACCTTTTAAGGAAGGAAATTAAGAGAGAAAAAGCTTTTTAATGAAGACGCAAGGGAGAGAAAACTGCCTTTTCATGAAGGAAACCAATAGAGAGAGAGTACCTCTTGATGAAGGAAACAAAGGAGAGAAAATGCCTCTTAATGAAGGAAACAAAGGAGAGAAGGTTTGCAACCTCTTAGAAGAACTTTGTAACCATTATTTTAATAGTTGATATGTCTCGTTTTCCTGTGGACGTAGCCTACAACGGTGAATCACATAAATTTCAGTGAAAGTAAGTATTTGCTTTATTGCATACTTTTCACTCATATACACATGTACATCATTTTGTTGTATTTTGTATATCATAAATCTGGGTTTCACTGCGTGCATCCATATTTGTGTGAGAGGGCTCAAACAGCTGAGCCCAACAAATGGTATCAGAGCGCATGTTTCTTGATTTCAATACACCGCTCAGTCATTTACCGATTTAGCAAGCCTAGCGGTCATAGGATGAGCACGAAAAAAAATCTCCTTTTAGACTGGCTCTTGTTTGACCTCCGAACGGAGTGTTTTGGGACACGTCGTCAGTTAGAGACTATCAGTGAGTGGGCACTATGCAAAGAAGGTCTTGACTAATTGACTATTAGTCACCATTTTGATCAATAGTGAATCAATTTAACCACTGGTTACTCATATTGACTGATGGTGACATCCTGACAGCCGGTGACTACTTGACAGCCAATGGATACTTGACTGCCAATTAATTGACAAACAACAGATCCTTGATAGACAATGGATCCTTGACAGACGATGGATCCTAGACTGCTGGATCCTTAATTTCTGACGAATCCTTGATTGACGGTGGGAGCTTGACAGACGGCGAATCTCCCTAACTGTCGGTGAATAGAAGAGAGGGGTGTGGAAGATAGTATGTGTGGATTAAAGATTGATTTCAATACCAGGAGTAAGATGATATCGCTCATTGGGAATAGCTAGATCATTTGGAAACCAAAGATGGAAGATTTATTATACTGTAGGGACTTGTGTATACCCATTGAAGGGGTAGAACACAAGCCTGAAGGTATGACTGACAATGTGGAAGAACTGGACCGAAAAGCTCTCGCAACTCCGACAATGATTGGAAGAAAATGTGTTCCACCATGTGTCGATGGAAACATCCACCAAGTCATTGTGGGATAAGCTGCATGACTTGTATGAGAGAAAGACTACAGGAAATAAGGCATTCTTGATCTGAAAATTCGTGAACATGAAGTTCAAGGATGGGGGATCCACTGTTGAGTACATGAATGAGGTGCATTGTTAACCAATTCGCAATGATGAAGGTGTTCCTGAAAGATGAGCTATAAGCTCTGTTTGTGCTCGGTTCACTACCAGACTGTTGGGAGACCCTGGTAGTAGTCCTAATGGGATAGTTCACTATTAGCCTGCTGAATGAGGAGACGGGAAGAAATTCTTTTGACACATCGAACTCGCAAGCTCTTCTCACAAGTCTAAGAAGGTCAAGGAATAGAGACCAAAACCGATGAAACCAATCTAATGATAAACCTAGATTGAAGACGAGAAAGGGGATCACATGTTTTCATTGTGGCAAAGACGAAAATATCAGCAAAGTGTGTCGGAAGCTCAAGAAAGAGTAGAATGAGGACAATGCCAAGAATAATGGCGTGGAAACCACTGCATCAAGTTC